TTTTTTTTGAGACGGAGTTTCGCTCTTGTTGCCCAGGCTGGAGTGCAGTGGCGCGATCTCGGCTCACCGCAACCTCCGCCTCCTGGGTTCAGGCAATTCTCCTGCCTCAGCCTCCTGAGTAGCTGGGATTACAGGCATGCGCCACCATGCCCAGCTGATTTTTTGTATTTTTAGTAGAGATGGGGTTTCACTATGTTGACCAGGATGGTCTCGATCTCTTGACCTCGTGATCCACCCACCTGGGCCTTCCAAAGTGATGGGATTACAGGCGTGAGCCACCGCGCCCGGCCTAGGGTGATATTTGAAAGTTGAAAAGAAAAATGTAAATAACTAATAACTTCAGCTTGGTTCATTAGAGACTGAAGTGTCTCAGAAATAATCTCCTTACCACCAACCTGTCAGTACCCCTCGTTCTGGTTTTAGACCTCCAAGTCTTCTATCTTCTCACCTGTTATCTTGATCCATCAGTGTTTCTGTTCTACATGGCCAAGCAGTTCACAGCCTCTTCTCCAGTTTCTGGATGATACTCTCTCATTGAGGCTTAGATCTCCTCAGGCAGGATGGTCAAGAACTGCTCCAGCACCAGAAGCTTCAGAGTCTCCCTGTTGTGGTACTCTGGCAGCACTTTCTGTTGGTAAATTCCCCAGAGATGGCTGAGAGTCACTCAAGACCCAGGGGAATCCTGGTAGCAGAGGTGCCTGAAGTGTCATCTGCAGTTTCATGATATGAAAGACTATTTCCTGGAAGTCTGTGTTCCTGATTCCATGTCTAATGACTAGTGTGAACCAGGAGCAGGCAGTAAGAATTTTGTGATAAGAAAGGACAGAAAATAGGCTGGGCAAGCTGCCATGTTAAAGAAGTACACATGACCATTTTTTTTCCACTTTGACTTGCATAGCTGTTTTTCTGTACCTCAGGGACATAGCATGGCTACAACTAGGACTTCTCTTGTTCTCCAGATAATTTGAGCCTTAAAAATTTCTAGTAGGTTCACTCTGCCTATAATTTGGGATTCAGGAAGATTCCCATTCAGCATCTTTTCTTCAGGAGTAGACCTAATTTTTTTTAAAAAATAAAATTATATACATGTATATATACATGTATCCTATATGTAAATATACATACACACATACAACAAGGGATTAATATCTAAAATGTAACAAATTTCTACCCTCTGATAAGAAAAAGTTAAAATGTCCAGCAGAAAACCAGACAAAAACATCAAGAAAACATTGCAAAAGCTAAACGACTGCAAAAGAATTGAAGGAGCTGAACAGCCTCTGCAACGAGAGATGATAATAATACAAGAGGAGATACAAATGTAGAGAAGTAAAAACCCTGTAATTCTGAAATAGAAATAAAAACTAACAGGCATACACAGATATATATCCCCTAGATCTTTCTATTGAAAAGGCTTGGAAGCAATAATCAGCTAAGCAGTGAGCTTTTGCTAGCACCCAATTTGTCATCTTGAAATTCCAATTCCCCCAAAAGAAATCAGGATTCCTGGGAGAAGGGGCCAAATCCAGATGGGAGGCAAGAAATGTGTGGCATGAGCCTGAAACATCTTGCCATACCATAAAGCAAGTGTCTTGGGTCAGAAGTATTCAGTTGCCAAGTTGAAGACCTTCCCACTTGAAGATAGGAAAATTTGAGCACCAGTAAAGATAATGACAGCAGTGAGTTGAAATACTTCAAGCATGTTTATTCCATGAGTCTGTAATTATTCTTAAAAAACACATAAAAGCTGGTCACCATTGGAGAATGCTAGGGAACTAAGTATTTTGAAAACAGGTAAATAAAGAGAAGAATTTATCCTGCCTTTTCCATATGAGCTGTACCACTTGGTAACCACATAGGGCACTGAAAATCCTTCTTGTTAACTGTCAGTGAGGCCAAATGCAGGAAGTAGTGGCATCAGCTACTACCACACTTTGGGCCAGATCAGTGAAACAGAATCTGGAAAAGAAGAAGAAAAAAAACCCCCAAAAAACCAGAAACATTCCCACATTCTCCCTTCAATTTTCTTTACTACAGGCATGCCCATTTGGGCCCTTTTTACTTTCCTGTCTCTCCCCTACTCCTCTCTTACTCATTTGGGATGTCCCTCATTCCCTTAATGTTCCTCCTTTACCCTTTAATCCTCTATTTTGTGGCTTTCTCCTCTATCAGCTTTACTTATTTTTCTGAGTAGATGAGAGAGAAAGGGACTGTCTGAGCACTGGAGTTGGAGTCACAGATGGACTATGCCAAGCTTCAGTGTTGAAAGTAAGTGTGGCATGCCATAGCACCTTAGCTGAAACCTTGTTCCTGTGGCCCAAGCAGTTCAGAGAGCCCAAGAATGGTCAGGGGTTGTGGACGGGCAGGTCTGCATGGTACTCATAAACATACAAGAAACAGCCCCTTTCCCTTCGCCCTGCGAGCTCATGAAAGAGGAACAGAAGCTCTATAGACGTAGCTTTTTCCTAAAGTAAACATTGATGGTCCTGTTTAGACTGCTTGGGTAAAGACTTGGCTGTATTTGCCTATTCCAGAGCAGAGGACACAGCCTTGCTCTACAAACTCACCTCAACCCACCTGCCCACTGCACTTCACAGGCATCTCAGTCCTCTCAGGTTGGGACAGGCAGTGGGTCAGTGAGGGAGCACAGGTTTAGGGACTACGTACTGATGTAGAGGTTGCAAGTGGAAGGATGGAAAGTAAGCTACTATTTGCTTGATGCCTCTAGCATATGAAAAGGACTAATCCTCAGGGTAGTCTAGGGCCTTGATACTCAAAGTGCACTCCATGAATCAGCAGCATCTGAGGCATCTAGGAGTACATTGCTCATTTAAAGTGTAGATTCCTGGGCTCCTTGTGACCTTTTACATTAGGAATCTGCATCTTAACAAGATCTCAAGTGATTTGTAGGTATTATAAAATTTCATAAACACTATTCCAGAAAATTTGAATTCAGCTAATTGCTAATTGTTCTATTGACAAGTAAAACAGTAAGTGACTTTTAAAGAATTGTTTATGGTTCCTAAGCCACAAGGAAAAAAATACACACACATATTTATGTATTCTTTAACACTTTAAATATAAACTTCAAAGACAAAGGTTTAGGGCAGAATAGTTTTAAGCTGAACTTTTATTTCCTCTCTTTTGAAATATTCTGATTCAGATTTTGACTGTGGAGAAAAGAATAACAAGAATGTCAGCAGAGGCATTTCATATCCAAATTTTAACATGATACTTAAAATTCTACCTACGTTTGTTAAATGGTATTATCTCTTATGTAAAATATAATGCACATTTATTAAGAGCTACATTTTAAGTGCTTTCCATGTTTGTATCTATTTAATCTTATGCACCTACTGAGGATGATACTGGTATCATCCTGTTTTACAGATGGGAGACTACAGCATGGTGGCATTTAGATAAGTCACCTACAGTTCCACATCTCACAAATGGGGAGGTAGGATTTGAACTTGGTCCCAGAGCATATGTTTAACCCTGACAATAAATGTTTGAGCATGCTGGTCTCCCCAGTAAGTAGCAAGCTGCCCAAGATATCATACTTTTTTTCTTTACAGAACTACTTCAGTGATGCTGCTTGCTATGGCACTCAAAGTTGCTGACCAACCCCTAAAATAAGAATAATGCTGACATAAAAGGCTATGAATTAAAGGGGTACCCTATAAAGAATAGAGATTTTTAAATATCATATTATTTGTAACAAAAATGGAAAACTTACAGTAATGACCTGCATTGAGATTTTGATATACTATGTTGATGATTCATATCAAACTCATATTAACATATGATATCAACATATTTTGAGGATTCATATCAAAAACATGAGTTAGATATGAAATGAGACATAGATTTCTAAACGATTAAAACTACAGGTTTCATACCATGGATAATGCTGCTTACAGAAGATTTCTATCACATTCCTAGGAGAGACCATAGCAATAATTTCCTTTGGGAATGTGGTTGATTTTTATACCCAAAAATCTTAAGTTTGTTTAAAATGTTAGTCTTACAGAAAAAGATGCACCTCTGAATTCCCTTTGATCTTCGCCAATCTTTTTTAAAAAGAATATAAATATACTGATCTTTTAGAGTTGTTCAATATTCAGTATTACTCAAAAACAGGCCCTCCATAACAATTTATTTCCAATAAGATTTGGTCCCTTTAAAAGAAATAATTAGAAACAAACCAAAGTATAGGGAATAAGAAGGCCACCCAGCAACCCCCTACAGTCAGTCATCCACAGTGGAGACACCAGCACCTGGTTTGTAGACAAGTGATTCACTGCAAAGCAAAAATAAATCTTACAAGAACAGAATAAGCCATCTGAAACTCTTCTTTCCAAGATGGTCCCATTTAGGGGTCTGAGGGTTCACAGAATTAGTCCAGTTCTGCTGGAACAGTATGGATTCTAAAATGCCTAATAAGGTTGCAATGATGACTGAAGGCTTTCCCACACTCATCACACTCATGGTCTCTCTCCAGTGTGGATTCTCTGATGTTTCATAAGAAGTGCCTTCTTACTAAAGATTTTACTGCACTGACTGCACTGATATGGTTTCTCACCAGTGTGGACTCGGAGATGCTGGAAAAGCCCTGCATTCTGAATGAAGGCTTTGCCACACTGATTACACTGATAGCGCTTCTCTCCAGTGTGTATCCTCTGATGCTGAACAAGGCATGAGCTGAGGAGGAAAGCCTTCCCACACACTTTGCATTCATATGGTTTTTCCCCTGTGTGGATTCTTCTGTGTCTAGTGAGGCCATTGCTGGCACTGAAGGCTTTCCCACACTCCTTACATTGGTAGGGTTTCTCTCCAGTGTGGCTCCGCCGATGTTCATTCAAGCTCGACCTCCGGCTAAAAGCCTTCCCACATTCTTCACATTCGTATGGCTTCTCCCCAGTGTGGATTCTCTGGTGCTCAATGAGTACCGAACTCTTAGTGAAGCTTTTACCACATTCATTGCACCTGTGGCGTCTCTCTCCAGTGGAATGTTCCTGCTGCTTTTCTGCCCTGCTGTCTTGTTTACAAGTTCCTCTGTGCTTAGAATCCAAAGATACATCTCTTTGGAGTCTGCTATCCCTCAAATGTTCCACTTCTTTTAAGATTTCTTGCTTTGATGCCAAATTCTGGTTCTCAGGTATACTTTCACCATCTGGAATAATAAATGGACCAAACAATGTCATCTCTTTCCTTTATTAAAGAATATAATCATAGGATGGAAATAGAAAGGTCCATATCAAACAGACATGTGCTAGGAATGAAGAACTGGCAGTTAAGGAGGGGGTTGGGTTAAACAGGGATGTTTAGGCTAGTAAAGTAAGCAGTTATCAGCACTGTTGAAATGGCTGGAGAGAACACCCAGAGGCTCCCAGAGAGGATGTACATAAGCAGGCACTATATTATACTCACTACAAGGCAGGCACTGTTCTAAGTGTTTTACATATGTTAACTTATTAAATACTCAAATGATTCTGTAACTGATGCAGTATGATTATCCCCACTTCAAATATGCATAAACTGAAGGCACAGAGAGGTTACCTGATTTGTCATTTGTCCATTGTCACAGAGCTATTAAATAGTAGTATTTAAATCCCAACCCAGGCAATTTGGCCCCAGAGTCCACATTCTTAACTATTACTCTGTATAGACCCACCAGATATTTCCTTAATGGACCTGTCAAAGCCCTTACCTTGTTCTCGAAATTGGTGGAGGTGAAAAGATTCACATTTGAGCTGTGTCACCATAGGCTGAACCTGGATGTCTGCTGGTTCCTGCTTGATCTTCGGATGTTCCACATCCTCTGAATGTCCACCTTCATGATCTGGATCCTGAAGGCAGCAGGCATATTTGGGTCATAAGAGGGGGATTATAGGAGTCCAAGCTCATACTAAATGAAGGACATCATATGGAACCATATGAAACATTTTCTAGAGAGTTGTCATAGTGGAAGGCCCAGAGTTTAATTCCGTACCCAAAAGCAAAACAGGGAAGAGTGGCTTAATCTAGTGTGGTGGTTTAAAATAAATCCATCAGGTAGAATCTAACTGCCCCCCCCCACCGCCCCCTGAATGCGAACTGTACTTGATAGTTCAACTCTACTGAATAGAAAGTGAGGCAGAAGAGATGGTATGTAACTTCTGAGTCATAAAAAACACTGCGGCTTTTCCCTTTCTCTCTCTTTCTCTCTTTCTACCCAAAAGAAGCCAGCTGACCTGTTGTGAGGGCACTCAAGCAGCCCTATGAAGAGTACTAACATAGTAAAGAACTAAGACCTCCTGCCAACAGCCAGTGAGCAGCTGAGGCCCCCTACTAACAGTCGTACCAGTGAACCACCTTGGAAGTGGATCCATCCACCTGAGTTGTGTCATCAGATGACTGTAGTCTTGGCCATTAAGGTTTAGGGGTAATTTGTTACACAACAGAGAATTAATACATGTGGCTATAGCCAGCCAACCTGTGTCACCAAACCCTGCCTTACATTTAGTATTTAATGTTTAGAAGTCCATCTTTTTCCTCTTACCTGGTTCCCTGGCTCACTAAGCTCTTGTTCCAAATCTTCAACTACAGCCACAGCCTCCTCCCCACTCTGCGGATGGTGCTTCTGTACCCAGGCCTGGAGTTCCTCAGGCAGGATGGTCAGGAACTGCTCTAGCACCAGCAGCTCCAAGATTTGCTCTTTGGTGTGGATTTCTGGCCTTAGCCACTGATGACAGAGTTCTCGGAGCTGGCTCAGAGCTTCTCGGGGACCAAGAGTCTCTTGATAACAAAACTGCCTAAAAAGTTGTCGAGAGGCTTCTTGGCCAGAAAAGTTGTTCACTCGAAGGTAGGTTTCTTGGTCCCAGAAAGGGTCTTCTTCCACCTTCACAATCTTCAGTCCGTACTGTTCCTCTGTTGAAGCCATTCCTGAGATTAATTTAAAAGGCTTACTCTGGCTTGAGGTGAAAGGGTAACTGTGATTTAAAATTTTCTGATTTAATCTTCCTTAGGAGAAGACACCTGATGATAGAGGATTATGTATTAATGGAAATAAAGCAGTGGGGAAAAAAGCAAAGTATGGAAACATGAATTATATTGTCATTTATGTTAATAAAACATATATATATATTGACTTACATATGTTTAGCAACAGGGAAAAGGCTATGGCAGACTATGTTAATGGCCTCAATTCTTCCCCTTTCCCTATAGCCATGTATTAATATATTGCAGTGCCCTTCCATTGTGACACTGGATTCAACAATATGACTTGATTTGGCCAATGATATTAGCAAATGTGATGCATTCGCTGGTGTTGAATTAGTACTAAACTCTTAGTGAAGTTTTTCCCACATTCATTGCACCTGTGGCGTCTCCTCCAGTGGAATGTCCCTGCTGCTTTTCTGCCCTGCTGTCTTGTTTATAAGTTTCTCTGTATCCAAAGATACATCTCCTTGGAGTCTGCTATACCCCAAATGTTCCATTTCTTTTAAGATTTCTTGCCCTGATGCCAATTCCTGGTTCTCAGGTATGCTGTCACCATCTCGAAAATAAATGGACCAACAATGTCATCTCTTTCCTTTATTAAATAATATAATCATAGGATAGAAATAGATCCATGTCAAACAGACATGTACTAGAAATGAAGAACTGGCAGTTAAGGAGGGGGTTGGGTTTGAACAGTACTTGTGTGACTGGGCTTGCTTACTCTTGCCCTCTGAATCTGCCAGAAGAAGGATATCCTTCAGATGGAAAGAGACATGCAGGACAGAGCCAGATCACCCCAGTGGGGCAGATGAGACCATCCTAGAGTAGCTGACAGCCAGCTAACTGCCAAACATGTAGGCCTAGCCTAAGATCTGCAGACCTGCTGACTGCAGATGTATAAGTAGGGCCTGCCCACCCCAGGTAAGCTGTGCCCTATATACTCATTTGCTAAACAAAAGTTTATCACTATATGCCACCAATGTTTTGTGGCTATTTATTTTTTATTTATTTATTTTTTTGAGACGGAGTTTCGCTCTTGTTTACCCAGGCTGGAGTGCAATGGCGCAATCTCGGCTCACCGCAACCTCCGCCTCCTGGGTTCAGGCAATTCTCCTGCCTCAGCCTCCTGAGTAGCTGGGATTACAGGCACATGCCACCATGCCCAGCTGAATTTTTGTATTTTTAGTAGAGACGGGGTTTCACCATGTTGACCAGGATGGTCTCGATCTCTTGACCTCATGATCCACCCGCCTCGGCCTCCCAAAGTGCTAGGATTACAGGCTTGAGCCACCGCGCCCGGCCCAGGATTTTTTTGAGGAAGAGAAAGGAAGATCTGGCATCATAAGTCAAGCAAACAACATGAAGAAAGGAATTTACAGGCACACACAATGGCGATAAGGACAGGCAAAGCTGAACTATAGAATATGAGGTGTGGGTAAAAATGTGAGAGGAGATGAAGTTAGACAGATGTGTTATATGGGATAGAAAATGGCCTTCAACTCTAGGCTAAGACCTTAGACTTTACGGAAAACTGAGAGGCATTGAGGCTTTCATTTTATTGTCCTAGTGTTAGATCTGTATTTAAAAAAAAATACTGAGTAAGATTCAGGATGGAAATGGTAAGAATATGTTGCAGGGTTGTGGCTGTTTAAGTTGGGAAGTTTAATGATAGTTACACTGATACGTTGACTTTAGTGGTGTAATTTAAGTTTTATATGATTTTTGCCCGATGCTAATGGAATTATTAAGGTCTCAGAGCACTTGGAAGTTTTTCAGTTATACTTCATTGGGTGAAAATGCATTTATTCCATTCATTCAAATATTATGTGTCTATTAGGTGTCTGGAATAGTGTGAGGTGCTTAGTTCAAAACGGTGAAAGGTCCCTACCTTTATGGTATTTACCATGGGAAAGACATAATTCACATAAAATTATGTTACAGAATTAAGGATATCAAGAGTTAAAAAGATCATGGCATTTATTCTTTGTCAATGTCCAAGGCCAAATATTTATCTTTTTACTCCTTACTGTAGCATCTGGTAATTGGGCTTGTTGTCTTCAGGGCAGGAAGACTGAAAGTCTGAAAATTTCTAATTATGAATTTGCATTGGATTCCATTATTATTAAACATGTAGCTTCTCATGGCCTTAGGTTTATAGGCAAAAATTATTCTGCAAATATGGGTTCTGCACTTTAATGCTATTGAGAAACCATGGAGATAGGGTTGGCTTTTTTGTTTTGTTTTATTTTGTTTTGCTTTCTGGATCACTACAGGCAATCTCTCACATATACAAAGCCACAGGTGGAATATTCCTCCATCAGTTGTATTCTTCTCCCCACAATTGGTGCTTAGGATTTACCTCCTGGTCTTATACCGTCATGAACTGTCTTTATTCCTAATGCCTAGCACAGTGCCTGTCAGTGCTCTATAAACATTTTCTGGATAAATAAATATATATTCCCCCACTATATTCCCCTTCACTTCCTCAAGCCATGGTAAGGACAGAGAAGGGAACATAGAAGGGAAAATATATTCTTTCTTCTTGTCCCCCAAACCACCCCTGTTCCCAGGATGTATATGCATTACCCTACGTTCCCAGCCAGTCCTCCCACCTCTTCCTATCTCCTCTCCCAAACTGCTAAATATTACAGACACTTCTTATTTTTAAAATGCCTAAAAGACTTACAAATCTGGACTTGCCACAAAATTATGAATTCATCTTCATGTTTACCTGATTAATTCAATTATATGCAAATTTGGTGTCATCTGATATCCTAGCAGGGAACAAGTACTTGGTAGACATCTGATGAATTAAACGGAATGGCTATTTAAGATCATCTTTGGTGAAGCACTGTAGTACAGTGAATAATGTTCAAATCCTGTGTCCTCTCTAAAGTGATAATGACCATAGTACTCCTCTTACAGTTGCTGTGATTATATAAGGTAATGCATATAAAAAGCTTAGCACAGTACCTGGCCCACAGCAGTTATTACATAAATATCAACGAGCAGGTATTATTAGTAAAGAATTATTAGTAAATTGCATATCTTCATTTCATAGCGGAAATAGACCCAACAAAATAAAATATTTACTTCATATGTTAATACTCAGTAGACAGTTGAAAATACTAGAAGAAATATTCAAGAAAATCCAGGACAGACCGTGCCCAGTGGTGACCTCCCAGTTGTGTGCTGAAGCCGATCTCTAGATGTCACCAGGGTATCCTCCTGAACATCCTAACAGCAGCTCAAAAGCAACACATTAAAGATTGGATTCAGATTTCCAGGGTGACATGATATAGGCCAATTTATGATTAATTACCAATTGACTCCAAACATTTGGCACTGGGAGATGATATATAAAAGGGGATAAAGAGAGTGACATGGTCAGTTACAAATACAAGACAAAAATCCCAGTGGACCAGAAACAAACACAGAGTAGTTAGTGGAGTTGATGCTGTGGGCTAACTGACTTGACTGAAGGAACAAAGACATCCTAGAATTCAACTCCTGGGGGATTAAATGTGGTGTGTCTCAGGTTTTAGGGAACCAGGCTGACTGTTCCATGCCAGGGCCTGCAGTGGACTTCCACACTCATGAAAGGGGGACAGAAAAATAAAAGGCAGTTGACAGCTGACTCAGCTTATGACTTTATTAGCAACTAAGGCCCAGGAGACAAGGGGCAAGGAGAGACTCATTACTAGTAACTGACCCATTTATTCACTTATTTAGTCAATAAATGTTCATTGAGCAACCATAACATGCCAGGTACTTGGCTGGGCACTAGGGCTACAATGGTGAAAACGACAAGACCAGGCTGGAGTGTTCATTTTAACACGGAAGACATACTGAAAATAAAGGCAACAAGAAAAATAAGTAAGGAGGTAAATAAAATAATTACAAGTTGTGATGATTACTATGAGGAGAACAAATGAGGCACTGAGTTACCAAATAAACGGACAGCCTATTTAGAGGGCGTGGTGGAAGGTGAGGTGACATTTAAGCTGAGCCCTTAAGTGCAAAAGAAGTGAGCTGTGCAGAGTAGGGATGAGGGAGGGGAAGAGCCCTCTGGACTATCCAAAGGCCCTTAGGAAGTACATCCTGCCATCAAAGACAGGAAAGGAGGCTGGAATGTCTACAGTCATGTGGGAGAAGAGTGACAAAATATTAGGCTGGCAAGACAAGCAGGAGTCAGATCATGTACAGCATAGGAGTTAGAATTCTATAAATGCAATAAAGAAACCACTGGAGGATTTATAGAAAGGAAGTGACAGGCTGAATTATGTATAGAGGAGCTCTGCTACTGGATGGAGAATGAGCTGAGGGAATGAGGATAGAGGCAAGAGTGGAGGCAGAAATGCAAGAGTAGAAGCAGAAGAGTCAAGAGTTGAAAAAAGGGTAAAGTGAAAGGTATGAAGGTATTGCACTCAATCTGGAAAGACATCCACTTAGTTTAGATGTTACTGTACAGAAGATGAAACAGCTTAACCTTTGTAAAAGCAGTGCAGTCACTGGACAATCAATTTATGGAGCTGCAATAAGAGTTGGGAACACACAGGTGTTTATAGCTCATGAGGATATAATTACAATACAATTAAATAAAAGCTGTATTTAAAAAAATGTGTACAAGGTATACTCCTGGAGGAAGTGAAAGAGCTCATCCTAAATACAAGATTAAGTTTCTATGCATTACATGTAATCCACAATGGAATTCATTTCACAGGTATTTACTAAGGGGTCTATTACATGTTATACAGCAAAGAGTGAAACAATGCAGTTTGATGTGTCCCCATTGTCTTTCATTGAAACAAAAACATGGCAGAAACAGCATAAAAGAGAATGTTTTCATTCGTGTTAGCATAATTAGCAACAGCAACAAAGAGATCATGTAAATCATAAATCACCTGTGTTGTAAAATAAATCCCAAAGGACAACCAATTACAATGACAAGAAAATGATGCAGAACTTAAATACCATGAGGAATCAGTCAAATACAGAAATGGGGATGCTCTGTAAGATGACTGGAGGAGCCTCCT